GTGTACGTAGGGGAAGCACGCCTGGTGTAGCGACTAGACGTTCCCCTGCCGATGGGAAGGTCGTCGGTTCACATGTACCATACGTCATAGGTCCAGACGAGACCGTATTTTTTTCCCTTCCCCAAAATGACCTTGGCTCCCAAGTCAACCCAGCCTTGAGTGGGTACCCACTGCCTTCCGATCTGCAGGAGAGCGCCTGTGAGCTACTCCTGTGTGGCTCGCATATAAATGTATGTGTGTTTGTATGTATTTATATATATATATCAATCATCAATCAGCGAGTCATTTACAGAACATTGATCGCTTCACGGCACGCCTGTAAGTATCCCTTTCCCTAGCCAGCTCTTCGGCCCCATGTGCTTTCAATGCCAATGCATCTTCCATGTCTTGTATCCATCTTCACGGTGGTCGACCCCTGGGGATTAATATGATATGTATAAACAAACACAGTGCTATAAAAGATAACTTCCAATCATTGTTAAAGGGGGCGTCTTAGATCCCTTACAGAATTACTTATATTGCGGCGGCGTGCTTAGCCCTTTCTTTTGGGGTGCTGAGGTGGGTTGGTGTTGCATAGAAAAAAAAGGGGGGGGGGGGGTGGATTAAATGACCTGAGTCTCTCCATCTAATCATTTCGGGAGCTAAAGAGGTCTGAACCATCAACCCATAATGTTTTTTTTTTAAAGGCGCTTCGACGTTAGTCTCCCCAAACAAAGTTTTCATTGTTTTGTTGGGCTGGTCTACTTTCGTGGACGTTAAGTGTGTGTCCCGCTCTCTTGTTGGGTTTCCTTGATGTCTTTTCATTAACGTTTATTCCGAGAAAGAGAATGCCTGTGGCATAGGTTTGACCACTCTCTAGGGGAGTTGTGTTAGACCCAGTGTGTCCATGTTTTTGGATTGTTAAAAGCGCTGCCGTTCTGAAATATAGAACACGCGAAATCAACGGTATTGCGGGGGGGGGGGGGGGGACGTCTTTTTTCTGGCAAGGTAACGTGGCTCAAGGTCGACAAATCAGAAGCGAGCTAGGCTGAAGGTCGACCAATCAGAAGTGAGCTAGTATGTAAGCGTACGTAAATGGTAAGACTAACGTCGAACTAAGGAAGAGAATTGTACCCTCCTTCTATCCTGTCCATGTTTTCCTAATTTAATGGGGGTCTCAGTATCCCCATGCCCCATTGTTGCCTTGACGATATGAAACGGCGGAAGGGGGGGGGGGGGGATGTTCGGGATGGAGGTAGGTGGGGGGGAGGGGATGCTTAGCCTGGCCTCTCAGAAATTTCCTATGTGGTGACGCGCTTGTGTGCGCTATTGCTGTGGAAAGAGTCAATGAAGCTCTTTTAATTGTGTTTGCAGCATAACTTGTTTTTCCAGAAGCTGGCATAAAAAAACGCTGAACCCGATAATTAATGACTACAAATTTCGACATCAGTGTTATTTCGTTTTCGCCTTTTTATGTTTTTATGGTGCAGATATTTACTTTAAACCGGCGCTGTAAATGTCAACACCCGAGAACTGGAGACAAATTGCAACAAGCCGCTGTAATAGGGTCACATTAGAGAGGACGTGATATGGTTTCTGCAAGCAGTTAGTTACAGCGAGAGAGAGATTGCTAGAATATGTTGTGCAGAGGTGAGGCTAGCTGGAGCAGTGGCTAGCATAGGCGTCCGAACATGGCGGCTCAGCACCTCCCATTTCCACACAATGTACAGAAACCCTTTTAAAAATATTTGTTTATAGATTTTTGTATTCCGGTAAAAACAAAAATGAAGTTCTCGGTTAGCACAAATTTCGTTTAACACAAACTCACATTTCAGCATCTTGGAGTTCGTGTTAACGGGAATTTATTATTATTTTCTAGAAATGTATGCACAATTTTTTTTTGACATTCCCGCGTTTGTAATTCATATTTAATTTTTGTCGATGAAAAACACGCAGCTGCGGATCGCAGATTGCCAGTCAGCAAGGCACTTGATGATGATGATATATTAAGTGGGTTTAGAATCGCAAATTGTCGTACGGGCCTGCTGGCCTAACTCCTAACCTGTAAAACATAGCTGATTCATTTGTTCATTGAGACCCTCAAGGAGATATGCGGCTGTTAGCATGGCTCTTGATGCCATTTGAACCGTCTCGATCTGACGGGCCATGCTGCTGACGTAACCAAACTGGGCTAACGATACTTTAAGGACAGGTTAAAATCTTAAATTCAGTTTGTTTATATCTCATGTTAAATTTATATGCACATTTTAATTAAGCCATCTTTATTATTTTAGTTTTGTTTTAATATATTGGTAAAAGTTGAGTACAGATTTAGCTATTTTCAGCATACAATATGACATTTTTAATACATTTCCGTTAAAATATGTTTATTTTAGCCACCAAAATTAGTTGTCCTTTAAACTTTAACTATTATATACCTATAAAAAGCATTGTTTTCTGCAGATTTAATCAAATTCAATGTTGGGGGTGGGTTAACCTTCCTTAACGTATCATTAGCCTGGTTGACTCAGATAAAGACGATCTTGCTTCTGTCATACCAAGTTGGGCATGCACCATAGGGCATGAAAACAGGCAGATAGACACGACAGCAAACACGCAAATAGACACGACAGAAAACACAAACTTCCAGCCCCGAAAGCACGCGGTTAGGGCACGACAGAAAACATGCAAATAGACCCGACAAAAACAAAAACTAGCAGCTTAGAAAACACGCAACATAGGCAGATTGAAGATAGCAAAAGCCAGGAAGTGGGACACAGCTAAAACGCTGCAGATGTGATATTGATTATATCGATACTAGAACTAGGATGTTTGTGTGGTTGCACAAACAGCAGTGTTAAATGATATCGAGCAGGATGCCAGCTCCCAAGTCAGGCTTGAATACTTAGGACCGATTATTCTTGCCAGCTCTACGATTTTAGTCGGAGATTGGCGGGGACGTGCCGTGTTTTTGCGGAGAACAGTTTGTCGACAAAGGTGGAATGGGACGAGTAAATTAGGTTTGAGCGAAGAGTGTGACTGAAACATCAGTGGCACTCCTTCGGTGAATTTCCTTTGTGTGTGAGGTGTGTGTGTCTTCCCTCTTTGCGCACTCTCTCTTTCTCTCTTTTTTTATTATCTGTGTGTGTGTGTGTGTGTGTGTGTGTGTGTGTGTGGGTGTGTGAAAGTGCGTGCTGGCGCTCATGTATGTATGTGTATTACTCCATGTTCCTGTCTTGTCATATCTTTGTCGCTCTGTTAATATTTAACTGTTTAATTGCCCACCCCTCCCCCTTTTTTTCCCTCACTTTCTCAACTGTGTTAACTCCTCTTTCCCTTTCCACCTCTTTTATCCTCACACTTTCTTATTAATGCCACGGTCTTTCGCTTCTCTCTTCTTTTGTTTTCACTGATCTATCCCCTCTCTCTTTGTCTGTTATCTCCTCCCACCTCTGTGTCTGTGTGTGTGTGTGTGTGTGTGTGTGTCTTTATCCCTCGCTAAATTAGTAATGACATTGATCATCCATTTCCTAAAAAAGTAATGTGTGCTATATAACTTATTAAAAGTAACAAACGTGAATAGCTAAACCGGTAACCACGATAGCAAGCATCTAGACAAGTGGTCTCCAACGCCCCCCCCCCCCCCCCCCCCCCCCCCCCCCCCTTTTCCACCTAAAAAACATTTTAAAATGTGATTAAAAAGAGGAGGACAAAAAGAATATATCCTGCAGTGTTAACAAGAACTGCTTGCTGCTGAAGATTAGGACTGAGCACTTACGGCAGTGTCCTGAGTGCGGTGATGTCAATTCTTAATTCAGCATTCAAGAACTTGGAGAAATTCATCCGCATAAAACAAAGTGTAAAAAAAAAAAAACTAAAGAAACATCATTAAAAATGTGTAATTTAGTGTCCCTTTGCGTTAATTGCCAACTGCTTTGCTTGATTGTGCCACTGATACTGTTTTTTTTTTTTTTTTTTCTGGATGATATCTGCTATCTATTTGGTCTGGTGTTGGGCAAAATACAACATAGATCACTCTCCTCGTCACGATGGTCTGTTTCCATAAATGTTTAAGCTGAAAATTTGGATTATTACAAGTGCAAATGCACTCAGTTTAAAACTCGAACACTCTACCCCCGTCCCTAACACCCCCCCCCCCCCTCCCCACACCTCTCCAGACTGAAGAACACTGGTCTAGCCGCTAGCCTGCCGTCGTAATCTTGGTTCGAATCTGTGTTTAAGTGGATTTTGTTTCTTCACACCTGACCTTTTGACCTCATTTTAGGCTATTTAAATATCAAACTGGGCTGTGTTCCGCCTTCCTTTGGCAGTCTATCAGACTCTTTACACTATGTACTTTTCTTGCATATTCATATTACAGGTCTGTATCTTTTTTGAATGGGAACTACTGGTTCCTAGCCTCTCAGTCAGACACACTCCGACTTGCAAGGAAACACTCCAAATTAGACGACTCGGTGCTTTATCAATATCCTACCCCCAGATGACGTCACATGATAGTCCTACATTTTAGAGGGTGGTAAAACTGGGTTTTTCCGGCTTTGGGATGATTTTAACGACCCCAAAACATTAAGAACTGGCCCTAACCCCAACCCCTGACTGCATGCAACCTTTCTACCACCCCCTGAAATATTAGACTGCCCCGTGACCTGTGGATTTCCATTGTTTGGGGTAGGATATTAATAAAGCACCGACGACCTTTTCGATATGCTTGGCGGGGTGGGGGGGGGGGGGGGTCTGTTCCCATTGTCCCCCAGTAGGGCCCCGGAACCCACAATAGCTGCTATTTCTAAATATTGCATATGGAAAGGAAACTGCATATTTTCAGCAAAATTTGTGCGAATAATAGTGCACATTAGTGCGCCAGATATGTAGACTAACTTCCGGCTTCTCCCTGCTCGGCCTGTCTTTGGAGTGCCCATGGACATTTCTGGGAGAAACCCCCAGGGGTGTTGAAGTGGGCTAGCACTCCAGTTTGGGCGGGTGGGGATTGATTGTCCAATATGCGGGAGATTGTACATCTTCAAATAGGTGCTTGTGGAAATCACATCGGGTCAAAAGTAAGTAGAACTGTACTTTTCAGGGTTTGAGCTCATCATCAAGTGCCTTGCTGACTGCGTGAGCGATCATGCCTCTCCACAATCTGTGATCTCCAACAGCCTGTTTCATCAGTTCATGTGTTGAATGACACCTCTCCATGCCATGAGCAAAGGCTGTCAAGAATCTTTTCGCGCTGTCTTTTTATGTCTCTTTTTTTTTCTCCACACAGGTCTTGTTAGCAGTCACATGTTCCAGCTTCCTTTTTCTCATAAACATGGCCACCCCAGGACGGCTAACTCTTCTGATATTATGATAAGTTATTTTCGATCCCTAGTCGGTTTTAAAAAATCTAGGTTGCTCTCTTTGGTTGTCCGGGGATTTCTAAACATTCTTCCGTAAAAACACATATCTGAGGCTAGAAGAAATTGTTTGGCATGTTAACTGTCCAGGATTCACACCTGTACTGTTCGAATTACACTGTCTTTATTCTTTCGACACAACTATTCATATTACTGCTTTAAGAATCGTTATCATAGCACACCGGTAATACCCATAGATGCTCCGTCTCCTGCAGCAAAAGTTTTAAGTTGCAGCTGCTGACTGTTCCAGTAGATCACACATCCTTTCACACCTAAATCTAAATTCTAAACTTCGACCTGTTATTTCATCCAACCATTCAGATGCTGATCACTAACTATTTAATGAATGATTAAACAGCATTGTTGCTTCTAGTAACCAAAGAATTAATATAAAACGTTCTGTGACGTCAATAACTAATGAAGTGATAAAGATAACTATATGACTGTCAGCAACAACAACAAACGGAATGCAGATAACTTTCAGCAACTAAGTAATGTATAGAGAAATAGATAATAGATGAAGAAATGTTGAGTAATTTTCAGTGGCGAATTAAGTAATAACGATAATATTGTGATTTCCGTCTTTTCCAATAGCAAACCTCCCTTTTCTTAGCGTTCACCGGCCAAAAGTTCTGATTGTTCGCCCACTTGTAGACTTTAAACTTGTTTAAGAACTTGAGCTCATCCCATCTACTTGCGTATTTGTATGCAGACTTTTGGTTAAAAACCTCTCTAGTAGATGCACCACGACTTCGAAGAAAACCCCTAATTTTTCGACTCTTACGACATTCTTGTCAAGTGTTGAGTTAATTTGAGGTAAAACTTGACACAACAGCACTTGCGGCATTCCCATGCGTGCTCCGTCCTCATCTTCAGCAGCCAGCGCAGAGTTGCAATGCTGATGGTACCGGTCACAAGCTGGTTATATGTCCGTCTTGCCTTTCCTCTGAGCGTAGTGAGCGGGCCAGACCCTCTGGTTACATCCAGGGGCCTCATTCTCTCCAGGACCATAATGATTTTGTTTCTCTACTGATTTCCGTTGCTTGTTCCCACGGAGCATTGGCCACATCTGCCTTGTCATGTATCCATTCACCACCCAGTGGTGCGGAACCAGCTAATCTTTTTAGTGAGACAGTGAGTATCTCCCCCCCCCCTCCTCCCCCCTTTTTCCCCCTCATGACCCCCCCCGTCATCCGCAGAGACGGGGCACCGTAACCCGCAGAGAGAGAGAGAGAGAGAGAGAGAGAAAGAAAGAGAGAGAGAGAGAGAGAGAGAGAGAGAGAGAGAGAGAGAGAGAAAGAGAGAGAGAGAGAGAGAGAGAGAGAGAGAGAGAGAGAGCGAGAGAGACTAATTAAATGATAACAAGATTGGATAACGGCAGTGATTAAAAAAATAAGTCCGCAAAGATATTACAGGCTGAAAATCCCTCGGCAGTTGGAAATCAGCAAGTGAAGGCACTATTTCACATTAAAAAAGGGTCCAGAAACGAATACAAAAAGCAAAGTTAAGGATCCTTTCCCCGCCTCCAGACGTATGGGGCATACAGGGCTAGACCTCTATTCTATAGACCTCGGTGGGTGATGTGGTCAACATCGCGGCAGCCGCCTTTACTTCTCGTGACTTTATCTGATAGCCATTTAAGACTTGGAGCCAGGATCATACAGAAATAATATTTATGGCATATGTGATAGAGGTATCTTCTTCTTCTTCTTCTTCTTCTTCTTCACGTTCACCAGCTGTACACTCTGGCTGAAAGTTCTGGTTGCTCGTCCACTTCTGAACTGCAGTCCTGCTCCAGAACCTGAGTGTTGCGTGTGCATCAGTTTTACAGATCTCATTCCTTTGAATACAGACTGTTGGTTCCTTGCCTCTCCGGCAGATGCACTCCGACTTCAAAGGAAGCTCCCCAATTAGTCGACTCTTACGACATGCTTTTGGGGAGGCAGTGGGTCTATTCTTGTTTTCCCCACAATGGGGCCCCGGAACCCACACGGGGGTGATAGAGGTATAAACATCGCATAGAAGGCTGTCATAACACGAACTAATAAAATGCGGCTGGAGGTGTCAAGTCACGGAGAAACATAATCACCTATTTGACTGCACGCCGGCACATACAATGGATTAGTCTGACTGAGAGCTTTTGTACACATACACACGGGGCTGCGTGGTCTAGAGGCATGGTGTCCGCCTCGTGTGCTAGAGGTCACGGGTTTAGGCCCAAGTGAAGGCTAGTTTTATTTTACGTGGGCTTCTAATAATTTTCCCCTGGCCTATGGGTAGTAAGACCCGACACCCGTGTGTATTGTTGCGCTCGTAAAAAATCCATTGGCAGCTGGAAATCGAAAAAAGTAGCCTAACGGTGCTGCCCGGGCACAATCTGGAGTTAAAAATCCACCCAAAGTAGTTCAGGATCCTCGCCGGTGCAGCAGAGTTCGTGCACTGCACTGAGATTCTTCGGACTCAGGCTTGCGTCCGAAGTAAAACGGAGTACTTATGGGTTACATCCGTGTGCCACGATGTTGATCCGTTAAAAAAAAAAAAAAAACACATACACATATAATGGGAAAGGGGGAGGGGCGGGTTTGGCTGTTCTTTCACGAGGATGATAACATTAAAAAAAACATTGAACATCTAATGTATCCGTCGTGCCTGAGTAGATAATTCTACTTAAACACGTATATATATATATATATATATATATATATATATATATATATATATATATATATATATATATATATATATATATATATATATATATGTAATGTGGGAGGGAGGGGAGGGGGAGGGGAGGGGGTCTGATTAAGAACTAAACATTTTATAAAATATAGAACATTTAGTGTTTTTATTGTGACCAAATCGATCATAAACTTTTTTTTACACATAAACTGTATGGACAAGGCTGATAAAGAGAACTGAAAATTTCACAAAATATAGCAAATTTAGTGTTCTCATTGTGACCGAATGGATCATTACCTTTCTTATACACATAAACATATTGTGTGGACAAGGCTGAACTGAAAATTCCACTCAAGATAGATCAGGTTTTGTTGAATCATTGTCCATGAATATGCCAACGTTTCTCCTGATCATACATAAGGCAACAAACACATCCAGCGATCTGTAATCAACAAATCAATATTGCCGGCAAGAAATCTACAGCGTTTCTGTATCAGATTACGCTTGCGGCAATTGTAAATGATAGAGAAAGCGCGTGTAACCAAAACCAAGACGTGGAGTAACATGTTAGTTTGGTGCATCACTGGGTAAACTACTTGTTCATTGGCAGGGCGCTGCGAGTTCGGGGCCAACTGTAGAGGCACTACTGAGTAAACAAAGTCTCTTAGTGGCTAAATGGTTAACGTGTGCTTCTCATGCTTGGCTGTGCCGATCTTTACTCCCAATTCGCTTCCAAAATCCTCAGAACGTCCTATCTCTCTGAGGGCATTGACAATGTCGGCGTGATATATGGGGCGGCCATCTTTAATTAATGCAGCACCTGCCAGTCTATCAGTTCTCTCATTATCCACAACGTCTGCATGCCCTGGGACGAATATGAAAGTGACTGCACACACAGGAGAGTTTTGCAACGACTCAAACCACTGTCTGCATAACCAGCCTGCCTCGGCCCGTCGGATCATGCTCAAAGAATCACTCAGCACACACACGTGGGAATAGTCCTGTGATCCCAGCCACATAAAAGCCTGTGTTACCGCCATCACCTCCATCGTCATGCTGCTGGTGGTCATGGAGAAGACACTGCTCGCTTCCTTAACTGTTCTGTCTGAAGAGCGATCTGTAAATGCCCATGTACTTGTGTGAGCTGCGTGCAATAGCGAAGAATAGAACGACATGGCATCAGTTGGTTAAGGGGCCTATTCTCAACTGAGCGATGTTAGGCAGAAGAAGAAGAAACCGAGATTTTTTGTGAGCAGCATTTGGTTATATCTGTGGTCTAGTTTATTTGTGCTGAGTTTCTTGGCTGATATGTGGGTATTTGTGCCTAGGTTGATGGCTTAGTGTTACTATGAGACGTTATTGTCCGTGTGTGGGTACCATTTCTGTATTGTTTTGCCTGCTTTTCTTTTTGGATTTGCATCCTGCGTTCAGGTTGTAATAGGTGTCCATGTTTTTAATTTCTGTGTGGGTGAGAGTCATTTGTGTTGATTGTCCTAGAGGTTGGATTGAATTCCGACTGAAGTCCCCTAATTAGGATTCTACTTGGGGTTTTGTCTCGTGACTCGACTAGTGATTTGTAGCTTCGACGACTTTGTACGACTCGTTCTTCGTAACTGACCACTATGAAGTAGATTTTGTGATGATAGACACAATTTAAAACTTTTTCTTATAAAACAGGACAGAATAAGTTATGTTTCGATTTATCAAGCTTTGTTTGGAACATTTCACGTTTTCGGGCCCAGAAAGAGAGTGACTTCCCTTCACATTCATAAATTGCCGTGTCGCAGGGCCTGTGCTATGTTGCAGGGGTGTCAAGCTTAGTGGTCGGCCAACAACACACAGTATTTGACTACTTGTTGTCATCATCCGGCGATATCGCGTGTCCTGCATTACATGACGTTAGCACTTTTAACGGTTCCGAATCATGCAGAACTAGCCTTAACCTTAACTCCCCTACGCCCAACGAAGGAGTGCAACCTATGTCCTACAAGAGAGTGCAGCCTACGTCCGGTTTTGCATATTTGGTGTTTCCACAAAGGGAGAATACATTTACATTTTGTCCAGAATGATTTTTTTCAAAGAAGGGAGAAAACTATTTTGAGCAAGGGTATTTAAGTTATCATGAGCTATCTCCCGTTGAAAAAGTGTTAAACGTATTATATTCCTCGTCACAGTCTTTAGGATGCTGACGGGCTAAACATACGAAGATTGTTTAAGCTAGCAGGTGCTATTTAAATGACTCGTCTGTCACGCACCTTTTGGGGGAACTAAGCATTATATCTCGAGGGCGACACATTATATTCCAGATGTCAGAGAAGCAAATATTCAAGGAAGGCGCTAAGTGCCATATAACCCTCGCCCGGGGGGAGGGAGGGGGGCAATTTGTTTACAAAGGTGTTATTATTTGACATCTACTATTATTTTTATTTGCCACTCGTTACATTATTATTATTATTATTATCGTTCACCTGTGATCTACCATCTAAGACATTTCCTGTAAAACTAACTTGGCGCCCCCCCCCCCCCCCCCCCCTCGAAACATATTTTGTTCCCTAAGGTAAGCATCGGTACGCAGTACTAGCACCTGTTTTTAAGGTATTTTTAGTGCTACTTTAATGGACCGGCGGGCGTGATGCTGACCATATCACCCACCGAGTGACACAGGTCTATAACATGTAGGTCTAGCCCTATAAGCCCAACATTACTGAAGGTGTGAAAAGGGTCCCTTAATACAATAGACCGTCTATGGTGCGTGCCGACATCTTTGTAGACACTTTCCCCAAACAGGTCACGGGACAGTCTAATATTTAAGGGGGTGGTAGATAGGCGGCATGCAGTCGTGGGACCTAGGCTGCATGCAGTCGTGGGACCTAGGCTGCACTCTCTCGTGGGACGTAGGTGGGTTTGGGTCAGGGCCAGTTCTAGATGTGTTGGGGTCGTTAAAAGAATCAAAAAGGCGGAAACCCAGTCTTACCACCTTCTAAAATGTAGGACTGTCCTGTGACGTCATCTGAGGTAGGATATTAATAAAGCACCGCGAATTTTTATGATTGCTCACCCAGATCATGTAGAATGTCGGCGTTCTTCTCTTCTTGGTTCACGGTATTCTAGGAATTGTCTGTAGCATTTAGGAAAAGGGGAGGTGGGGGGGGGGGTGGTGCTCTCTCTATCAAAGCAGTCAAGCTGTTTCCCTCGCGCTATGGATGTCTTTGGTTCGTATCACGGCGGCGCCGTTTAGTTTGGTAATGCGATTTTTACGGTGATCCATGGGAATCGTGGTTCGCGGGAGGCAGCAAGCTGTTCTGCAAAGAGAGACTGAGCCATCTGGAATTTAAACCCTGTTCAATGAAGTCGATCCTTTTATCTTTACCTTGTAGTATTCTGTTCAAATGCTAATAATATACTTTAAAAAAAAAGAGTGCTTTTGACAGAGGTGTTAGCAACAGCAGCACAAGAACCTTAGGGCTCAGGTAACCCTTCCCCCCACCCAGTAATTTTGTATGGCGTGGGGGGGGGGGGGGGGGGGGGGGGGCTAAAGTTTCCCCCTAACTATTTTTAGTGTATGACTGTTCTCATGTTAAGTATTTATTTACAAATTTGGTATATCATTTAATATAACTGATTTTTCTCGATTTGTTTCCAAGACCATTTACGGCCAAGGATGAAGTTCACCCTCTCCATAGCACACAAACAAGTTAGTTGCGTATCCTTTACAGGACGTTGCAGAACCAACCCCAGCATCTTTTAGCCGTTGTGGTATTTCTAGGAAAATTTTACGTTCATTAGTTTGCCATTGCCCCTTAACTGTCAGCTCTCGGTACTATTGTCGAAACCAAGCAACACAAACCATCTGCAGCAAGGATCTAAACCGGCCCCCAGCATTACGAAGCTCGTTCGCAACCCCTAAGCCACAGACGCTAACTGCACAAAACCTGGGCAGTATTATAGAGACCATATGTTGCCCATGCATCATGATCCTGCATTGTTTACTCAACTGGAAAGGTAACACCGGTACACTTTGAACAAAGAAGGCTACAGAAGCTGCCGGATCAGAAATGCAGTGCTTTACCTGTCCGCCGGTTAGAGATCATTTAATATAATAATCATCACAATTTATTATTTTTGTGCAAGTAAGAAATTTTGATTCTGACCGCTTCACTCACTCAGTGCCCATTGTCTATAAAATATAGGATAGCCCTATATGCCAAATACACATAAAGACGGGAACAAAGGTTCTTTAAATTTTATTTTGAAAACTAAGCAGGCATTAATCCCTTTAAGGCCTCCCAAAATATTTTAGGGGTAGGAGGGGCTCTAAGAACTTAACCCATATTTGCGCAAAAATAATATCAATAATAATTATAACTGCACAATTAAACAAGGCTTGAGTCATCCCCTGCTTCTAGAAAATTATTGGCGGTGGGTTATACCCCCCCCCCCCTTTTTTTTTCCCAACCACCTCGCAACCAATGTATTCTCTGAGATGTAAGCTCTGATTTGTACAGATCCAACTCAATGCTTTAAAACATTCTTCCATGCCGCACTCACCCAGGCTGAATATTTCTGAACCCAAGACTGAATAAGTGAAACTGGACCCTTAGATTTGTTGGTATAGGACAACGCCAAGTGTATACAGTCGATAGCAATACCCGGTAATTTGTTCCAGCGGTAAACAGCTAGAGAGACCATCTATATGTCTGTTCTGTTGTTTTTATGGAAACCTTGGTTCGTGACCAGAACACAAGGCTGCCAGGCATTTCTATGTCATGCTTTCTTTCCCCTTGATCTCAGTTCAAGAGGTATATTTGCATCAGAAACCAGCTCTTACAGCTCAGATATCATGTGTCTTCAGCTATCTCGGGTCCAATCCTGGCGTTTTTTGTCTGTTTCTTTTTTGTTGTTATTGAAGTTAAACACGTAAGTTACCTGGTAATGCTACAGTTACGAACACAAACACACATAAGTAGCTACACACATAATACACATACACACACACACACAGACACCCACACACACACACACAGACAGAAACACACACACACCCACCCACCCATCCATCCATCCATCCATCCATCCATCCAGAAAGACAGACAGACACATATATAGATTCATACAGACATGCATACATCCTCTTTCAGTGTCTGTCTTTCTGTCTGGCTCTCCCCCTCCCCCTTTCGCTCTCTCCCTCTCTCTCTCTCTCTCTCTCTCTCTCTCTCTCTCTCTCTCTCTCTCTCTCTCTCTCTCTCCTACACACATTCTCTGAAAAATTACCCTTTTTGCATGTTTTCTTGTAATATCCCCTGGTTTGTACTCTCACCCACCGCTTGCTCACCTGTCTTCAACCTTTTCCTCCGGTACATCATCCCTGAATTAACTCATACACACCATATATCCCCCAGTTCTGGGAGCTAGTCAGTGAAGAGCATGGGGTCGACCCCACTGGAACTTTCCGTGGAGCCAGCGACCTACAGATAGAAAGGATCAACGTTTATTACAACGAAGCATCAGGTATGATGATGGTTATGTTTGTTGAAGACATTGTCGTGTTTTTGTTTTAATTGTCCTGCAAGATTACATTAGGTAGGATTAATACCTCAACGATGAGAATCAAACAGTACCAGTAACATAAACATCCCTCAACGGATAACACAGTTATACTGGGGCACTCTTTAGGCGAATACCAAACCCGCCATTCTACATTGGGTGCTTTATTAATATCCTTGAGAATCCTTGAATATTAATATTACTGAGAATCGCTGCGTTAACGCCTCGTTAGCCCGACCCGGTGACGTCAGCAGCACGACCCGTCAGCTAGAGCCGGTCGTGGTTCATCACAAAGCAGCGGGTCCTTTCCAGAACGAGCTGTTGTCACAGCATACCTGCAAATCTCTATTTCTCTAGTCAATTGTTCAGCCCTATGTGCTTTCATAGCCACGCATCTTCAGTGTCTTGTATCCACATTCGCGGAGGTGTGCAACAGCCTCGTTTTCCGCAAACTGTACCCTCCATTACCGTTCTCTCCATTCTACCATGACGTTATACAAGGCCAACATACCTGAGCTTTTCAATGCCAGTTGGTGTATCTGCTTCTTCTTCGCTTTCACGGTCTCTAAATTCCGGCAAGATGTGTGGTTGTTCGTCCACCTCTGGACTTAACTCTTGTTTAAGAACCCGAGTGTTGCGTGCACATCTGTTTTACAGATCTGACTTGTTTGTGTCCAGTTTGTTGGTTCCTTGTTTCTCAGGCAGATGAACTCCGACTTCGTAGAAAGCTCCGAATTAGTCGACGCTTACAACATACTTCTTGGGGACGCAGTGACTCTATTCTTGTCTCCACCCCACCCCCCCCCCCCCCCACAACGGGGCTCCGGGACCCACGTGTGGAAATTAGTGTATGAAAGCTGGGTCCTAAAAAATACCTGATTCGCCAGTAACATTTTGATATTATTAAATGTAACTTTGACTTTCCACCGGTTTGAGTACAAAATGCACAGAAAATATTCTGTCAAGCTTGAACTTTCGCTTGCTGCCGAAGATGGGGACAGAGCGCTTGTATCGATTCCTAATTCAACATTGAAATATGTGTGTGTGTGTGTGTGTGTGTGTGTGTGTGCGTGCGTGCGTGCGTGCGTGCGTGCGTGCGTGCGTGCGTGCGTGCGTGTGTGTGTGGTGTGTGTGTGTGTGTGTGTGCGTGTGTGTGCGTTTGCGTGTGTGCGTGTGTGCGTGTGCGCGTGCGCGCGTGCGCGCTTTCCACTAATGTGCAACTGAACAGTCAAACTGCTGACCTTGGCTCTACTTTCAAGGTGGCCGGTTCGTACCGAGGGCTGTGCTAGTGGACCTTGAACCCGGCGTCTTGGACGGTGTCCGCGGGGGCCCCTTTGGGGGCATCTTCAACCCCAGCAACTTCATGTTTGGGAGAGCCGGCTGCAGCAACAACTGGGCAAAAGGTAGCAGCGTATAGTCTGTCTGTCTGCCTGCCTGCCTGTCTTGCCGTAGCAGGGAAGGGTGTCGGCTGTGGAGTGTCTGCATTCTGTAGAAGATCGCAAAATACGCACAAACATGATCAATACTAGTCGGCAAAGGAAGCTTTAGGATCCAACCCATAAAGTGGCGGCAATATTAACAATGCCTTTGGCTTCCATGTTGCGCAAAGCCAAAATGTGCTGCCGTGAAATATAGGAAATGAAAGTGGCCGGCGTGATGTTGCTCACGTGAGCCATCGAGTACCCACTGATCGGGTGGGGGGGCTGAAGCTCCATTTTGAGGAAACAAGAATAGAACGAATGTCCCTTCCTCAATAAGGGTTTGCTGAAATCAGATGTGTTGGGAAGTTACCGCAGCCTTGCTGTAAACCACAACACAGTGTGCCAACAATGCTCTTAATGGCGAGCACAGCAGATGAAAACGTACACTGATTTATGATGGAATTTCGCTTATCTTTGCAACGGTGTCTAGTTTTGATATGTTTGAGAATCACTGGTCTACGCTCAGCGTGTATACGGACATAGGCTGATAGCGGCTGCTGGCTTGCCGTCTGCAACAACAAACACTGGCTTCATAGATTCTATAGTAGGTGGAGTAATTAAAACAACCCATCACGACATGAAAAGGACCTCATGTTGATAGATAACTAGCGCTATCTGCACATTATAACCCCTGATAAGACAGCAGACCTTTATATTAGAATCCAGGCTTGGGGGAGGGGGATGCAGAGTTCCTGGATATTTTAGAGAAAAAGTTGAATATTATTTCGAGAACCGACAGGCATCTTTGTTGATAAAACTTCGCGGGTGACTAAGAATTCATTTATTTGACATTATGCTCAGAAATTTGTGTGAATTTAGGTCAACAGACAAGCAGAGTATATGTTTCTAGTTCCCGGATATTTAGAAGTACTGACACTTAATAAGTAAAATTAATATCATAACTGCAGCCTTTACTTCCCTGAACATATATAGTCTCTATTTTAATTCATATATAAAACAAACTAAAGTGTGTGGTCAATTTCCTGCGGATATTTTAAAAAAATACGGAAGGCTTTATTGAAAACACCAACTGTTCTCTGCATTGGACAGTCACGTAAATGACTAAAATTTGCGAGGGAGAAAGAATGAAATACAGAAATAAAACTACTATGATATGAATAATATTAGCATCATATTAGTGGGAAGAGTAATAGAAGTACTGAAAGCAACAGTAATAGAAATAGTAGTAACAATGACGTCAATAGTGATTTTAATAGGGATTAAAAAAAATACTAATAATAAATAATTTAGACATTACATAGATTTCTAATTCTTCCTATTTGCTCTCCCCATCATTTCCTCAAATGTTGAAGGTCATCTCACAGATGGAGCGGAGTTGGCAGACAGCATCATCGAGTGTACTCGTAGAGAAGCCGAGAGATGCGATTACCTGCAGGGGTTTCAGGTGCGTCTCTTTTCACTTACCGTTTCATGCTTCACTGTGACCCAGGGACGCGGTCACAAAGAAATCATAGAGGGCCCTCATCTTCCTTATAATGTTATAGCGAGGGGGGAGGGGCTCTAGGGCGATGCTTTGTTTACGTGAGATATAATAATTATAATTAAAATTATTTAATTATTATTTTCATTATTTGTATCATTATCATCATTATAATACATTGAAGCCCCCCCCCTCCCCCCCCCCGGGAAAAGTTCCATAATAATATAATGTAGAAAAGTGAATTGTAGAAACACATACTTAGGAAAATAAAACGTCAATAGATGATAGGTGGTGGGAGGGGGGGGAAGGTGGTCTTCTGTAAATTTTCTAGGGTGGGAGGCACATCGGGGACTCAAGGTCCCTCTGCCCCGCAAGCTTCGGCACCAATGGTGTCAACATACTACAACAAGCAGTTTTACATGTTCATTCGATAACTGCGTTCGAACAAACGCCCGACCGATGCGCAACATACGCGGGCGCACACATAACAAGCAGGCATATGCCATTAAAACAGACGAGACATATTTTATCATTTATAAAGCACGAAAAAAAAAAAAAAATTAAAGAAGAGGAAAGAAAACAGGACACACTATACAACAGAAACGTCAGAATGCTTCAGGTACACCGAGATTCGAATTTGATGTCTCCAAATTATGAAAATTCACAGGGCCAATTAGCGTTCAGGCCTGAAAATCTGGGGTTCAAATCTACACCACGTAGGAATTTTTGCAAAATAGACTTTGGCTCCCAAATTGACCATATCTTAAATTATTACCGCCTAGTATACCGGGCAAAATATTTTGAAAATGGGCAAAGGTTCCAAACAGCATATCACAAACATTAAATATAGACGGTCGTCAATTTTTGGTTATGTTATGGGGAAAGGGAAACTGGAACATGTTGTGAATACTGGAAGATGTGTGGTAAAAGAGCTAGAGGAAAACAATGTGAGAAGATTCTTAATAGTCTTTAGTCATGGCATGGAGTGATGTCAGCACATGAACATGCTGTTCAAGATCGCAGAGTGTGTGGAGAAGTATGATCGCCCACGCCAGTCGGCAAGGCGCTTGATGAGGATGAATGTCCTAGAACGTATCGACGGCCGGCGTGATGTGATCACCTACCGAGCACAGATTAATCGGTGCCTACATGAGCCTAGCTTTATATGCTCCAGGCAACACCAGCTTTAAAAAAGTTCTTTTGCTTTATATCTAACGGACGAACTAACAAGTTCTGAGCTGATAAAGCCATATTATTGCCAATGTTTAGACGTGAAGATTTTGCAGCAGCGGTGCTATATTAATATCGTACCCCAAACAGGGGAAATCCACAGGTCACGGGACAGTCTAATATTTCAGGGGGTTGTAGATGGGCTGCATGCAGTCGTGGGGCCTAGGCTGCACTCTCTCGTGGTACGTAGGTGGGTTGGGTTAGGATCAGTTCTAGATGTTTTGGAGTCGTTAACAGCATCAGAAAGCCGGGAAACCCAATCTTACCACCCTCTAAAATGTAGGACTGTCCTGGGACGTCATCTGTGGTAGGATATTAAATAAGCACCTCAGCAGCCTCTTTGGTTAGGTTAGTTGCGTGTCCTTTACAGACGTTGCAGAACCAACCCCAACAGCCACTGGCTGTTGTGTGGTTTTTCTTATCAAATTTACGTCCAGTAGTTTGTCATTTCTTTCTGGACGGTCGACTTTCTTAATACCACTGTCGAAACCAACGCAAGGTGCATGGCCCGAAGCTGGGATCGAATCCGGCATCCCAGCATTACGAAGCGTTCGCATCGACTTAGCCACAGAGCCGACAGCCTCTTTGGTAGCTGGTGTAAAAGAAGAATCCGTGACCTGCTCATAAACACAAAAGAATACATGTCTTGAATTTCAATTTCGCCGTTTACAAAAAGGCGACTCTGTACAGACGTATTTTCTGTGGCACTCGGAATGCATTACAAAATAAATCTTCGGAGTTCCATGTTGCGTCAGTTTAGTTAATGAGCTGTCTTTCAGTGACATGCCGTGAGAACAACAGAGCAGAAATCCATTCCGACTGTGTTCGTTCTATTTCCTGGCTTCGGAAAATGTAAAGTTAATTTCCGCATTCTGTTTAGTTTTTGCTTTCCTTTCTTTTTTTTCAAAAATTGCTAGAGGATTCGACTGGCACATGGGAGCGACATGGTGCAGCTATCGCGTAGGTTGTGGGTTTAAACCCGCACTGAGTGGGATTTTATTCTTTCAAAAATGACTTTAGCTCCTAGGTGGACCCAATAAATAAAAGGTGTCAAGTAAAGTCATGGGAAGTAGGATTATACGAAAATGTTTTGTTTATTGCCCCACCCTGGCTTTTGCCAGGGGCCGCAATATAGGCAGGCCATAAATATGGCCAATTATCTGAATGCGGTTTCTGGGACCTCTCCACGGCGATCCTCATCCACATGGTGGCACTTGGTGTCATCGGGTGTTTATCTCTTGTGTGATGTCCTAGTGGGGTAGAAAGTCAGTCAGTCAGTCATGGGAAGTAAAGGCAACCAGCGTGTTGACCACCTTACCCACGCGTGTTGATTTTTCTATAAAATAAAGGTTTAGCTCTATATATCCAATATTCTTAAGGATATGGAATAGTGTTCTAAAATATCAGATGCGTATATTCGGTTACTTTGGTCTCTTTGTTAACATTTGACATGAACTAGCAGGTACCGTGAAAAAGAAATAAAGAAGAAGAAGAAGAAGAAGAAGAAGAAGAAGAAGAAGAAGAAGAAGAAGAAGAAGAAGAAGAAGAAGAAGAAGAAGAAGAAGAAGAAGAAGAAGAAGAAGAAGAAGAAGAAGAAGAAGAAGAAGAAGAAGAAGAAGAAGAAGAAGAAGAAGAAGAAGAAGAAGAAGAAGTAGAAAAAGAACAAGAAGAAGAAGAAGAAGAACTAGGATGGGGATGGGTAGATTACTGTAAAATAGAAAAGAGGCAATACAATAAGGAGAAGTAAAAAAAAATAAGTTGATACGTTTCGGCGTTGGTAATTATGTCTGCTCCTAGTCTTTTGTCTCGTGTACGCCCATCATTATTGATACAGTTGCTCGACCATTCTCTACTGACAGATAACACATTCTCTAGGAGGAGGAACCGGTGGTGGGCTAGGGTGTCTACTGCTGCTGAAGCTGAGGGATGAGTTCGCTGACCGCATGTTCTGCTCCTTTGCCGTGCTGCCCTCACCAAAGGTTCGTCCGTTGTCAGGCTTACTGTTTCCCCAATGTTGATTCCGAGTCCTATTTAGGTGGGCGGGACGGGGAGGGGGGGGGGGGGACGTCTAATTAAGGGTTTGCTAAAGTCGTGTGTAAAGAAAAGATGATGGCTGTGTATAGGACACAAGCTGAGAAAGCCTGAGAATATTATTACTAGAATTTTTTGCACTGGATCCCACAGGGACATAGAAATAAAAAAAAAGACCAAAAACAAACGAACATAGAAGGGAGCTATAGAAGTTAAAAAGATTGGGGGGACAGGCGGAGAGCTGCATGCGATATCGAAGGATAAAACGACCTGATGTGAATTGGTTGAGTGTCTATGCTCCATTGGGGGTTAGAAAGGCAGGAAAAAAAATCAGATGTGTTCGACCAAAATATGCAGATATTACGTCCCATCTGTAAGCGACAGTAGAATGTGCCAACCGCCCCTTTAACCGCGAATGCAGAAGATTCGTTTAGTTATAAATAATAACCTGAAAACTCCCATGTGTATTCGGGGAGCCCCAGGCCGGAGGAAAAGATAATAAGAAGAACTCCACACGGAAGCATTCACAGCAGGGGTCCATCTGTCATCAGCAGAGATCCTTCGTCGACAATTGTGTCGTCCCATTACTTCCCTAAACAATCTAAAAAAGTAGGCAGACCTGGATCATGAAGCTAGGCCCCGATCTTCCATGCTGCACTTCATGTGACTCGATAGGGACAAGACGATATGGTCACTTTGCAAAAGAGATCAGTTGACTACCTTCAGGACCAGAGTGACAAGCTAATGGTTAGTTCCTCGGACAATTGTTAGACTTTGGCAGATAATCACCGGCAGACATTTATCAGACACTTTGGATTTTAAGGGATAAGAAGTTCATTTCCACTAGGGACTCGGACCAATCTACCGAGGCCCATCCCCAACGACGTTCCGTTGGGCGCAGAGCCAGCTCGAAGCTCTTTCGGCAGCTTGCGCCTACCTCGACAGCGAAGATTTTTACTATGTACGCTTCGTCTCTCCTAAGACCGGCCACGAGCTCACCCTATTTTTCGAGCTTTTACAGGCGAAATTCCTCCATCCGCGACTCGTCCGACACGGTCAGCTCTTAGGCCGGTCTTCCGAATTAACTGGGTACCTCTCGAAATCAGGCCAGCGGACAGCCGGTAACCAGTCGCTCGCATAGTCAAGTATTGATGGAGAGTATGCGACCATGTTGATTTTACATTTATAAATTTGCGCAGCCTTGAGGAAACGCATGGGGATGACGGTAGGACTCGTCCTCGGGTGAGTCCTCGTCCTCATCAGGCAATATTCTCAGAGACAAAGGAGTAGATCGTAGCAAAGCTTCATTGTGGAGACCTCAAACATTTATTACATTATTATTGACTTAAACAAGGCTTATGCCTCCCTGAGCTCACCAGTAAATATTTGTTAATTGGATGTATCCCCTTTTCTATGTTCGCCACTCATCTCCTTTTGTTTTTCTTGTGTCTACGCCACAGATCTGTTTTGCATGATTTCACAAATCTTTATTTAGTTTATCGTTGTCCTTTTGTGCTTCATGCTACTAGGATTTCTAGCTGCAAAGTTATGTCATCATTCGTGGTTGCACATTATTGTGAATTCCATTGGTTCTACTTCAGGTTAACTTTTTTTTTAACCATCCAAATTAGAATTCTTTGCTGGCTGTTGAAAATGAGATTGGGAATCGTATGGAATGTTCCGCATACTGTCATGTCGGCTGTTTACTCAACTCAAGTCACTGATATTTAAAAAAAAATTAAATTGTTGATGTTAAATATAATGTAGACCGCTGAAGGTGATTTCCGATGTGGCGAATTTCTGTTCTGAAGAACAATGTCTTTATCCCCGTTGATTTTTCTTGCTTGAACTTTTATTGGGAAAAAAGGAATTTCTGAAAAGAAAAAAATATTTCTTAGGTCACCGGTTGAGTTCTCCTTATCAGGTTTGCACTGTATTTGTGTGAAGTTCTTGCCCCCATCGCTGGGCAATTTCACTTCCACTTAGCTTACCCAGAAGCAGTGTTGTTTTCTTTGCTGTACGAGGTCTCCAGCTCCTAACAAAGTGCGCAATTCAAGAAGTATCATGTCTGTCTGTCAGTCTGTCCGTCCGTCCGTCCGTCCGTCCGTCTGTCTGTCTGTCTGTCTGTCTGTCTGTCTGTCTGTCTGTCTGTCTGTCTGTCTGTCTGTCTGTCTGTCTGTCTGTCTGTCTGTCTGTCTGTCTGTCTGTCTGTCTGTCTGTCTGTCTGTCTCCTTTTCTCTCAACTCGTAACGATAGTACGTCTCTGAAAAAGCATTATCCAAGCCCCCTATCTGTGTCTGTCTGTCTGTCTGTCTGTCTGTCTGTCTGTCTGTCTGTCTGTCTGTCTGTCTCGCCTGTCAGAAGCGTCCTCATTTACATCACCAACTGACAACCTCTCTGCGACAGGTATCCGACGTTGTGGTGGAGCCCTACAACGCCATCCTGTCCCTGAACGTGCTGGCGGATGCCGCCAACCACGTCTATGTGCTGGACAACGAGGCTCTCTATGACATCTGTTTTCGGACACTGAAACTGGCAGCCCCCACTTATGGGGATCTCAACCATCTCATCTCCTTCGTCATGTCTGGCGTTACGACTAGCTTCAGGTGACCGTCTTCCTTTGTAGGAAATGAAATGTTTCTCAAGATTGTTTGTTTGTTTGTTTGTTTTAGTATCCAGAAGCCATGAGTTGTTAACCCTTAGGCTCGGTATTATGGATTTCGCAACATTTTGGCCTTGATTCCATTGTAAATACAGTAAATCTGGGAGAAATGTGGCTTTTCTGCCTACCCCCGGGAGTGAACCCGGACCACAAGGAGTTCGTCACCCGGTCACCGCGCAATCCGGTCTAGCCAACTACACTAGAGAGCCGGGCGTTTTTCAAGATTAACTCCTGCATATTTTTGTTTCATTAACAAAGGATTTTGTCTTTTAAATGTGGCGCCGTGTGTAGTGGATAGATGTTCGCCTGTGGAACCGAAGGTCGTCAGTTCAGGTCCTGACGAAACTATGCCCCCCCCCCCCCCCCCATCCCACTTCCACCATCTAAACATAAAATTACCCTGGCTCTCAAGTCGACCCAGCCTTAAATGAGTACCAAGTAAAGTCTTGGGAAGTAAAGGTGAAGTAAAAACTCACAGGGTGTCGATTGGTCATTAAAATGTACGTCTAGCCCTACACGCCCAGCACGAATGAAGGCTTGAAAAAGATAACTTTTTATGTCTCCTAACTGTTGTTGTCCCAAACCTTTAGTAAAGGTTGACGTTGTCCTATAGCAGACATTACTGTTTCTGTGGGACATGACTGTGGTTTCCTGTGGGTGTTATTAATGGATGTAAAAGTAGATTCTCTCTGTGAATTTGTCAGCTCTGTGGCTAAGTCGATGCGAACGCTTCGTAATGCCGGGATGCCGGGTTCGATCCCAGCTGGGGGCCATGCGCCTTGCGTTGGTTTCGACAGTGGTATCAAGAAAGCCGACCGTTCGGTAGCAATGGCAAACGACTGGACGTAAATTTGCCTAGAAAAACCACACAACAGCCGGGAGCTCTTGGGGTTGGTTCTGCAACATCCTATAAAGGATACGCAACTAACCTAACCTCTGTGAATTTTAATTCTATACCTGGGCTAGACAAACATGGCCGGCTCGACGAAACTGGCCCGCCGAGTAATTTTCACTGGGCGGCGAGGCTGATGTAAAGTTACTACATAATCTGTTTCGTGAACTCACAAAATAGCTGAACATTAGTAACCCCTCTAATTTTTCATACCAACTCTGTGCTACCAGTACCAGACTTGGACATTATCAAAGACTAACCTACATAAACTTAAACACCTGTGAAATGAGATGCCTGAGAAAAGCCACTACTTAACTATCTGAGACAAGGTTAGAAATGATATTATCAGACAGACTGTAGGAACAATACAATGCAGTCAAGTCATTGAGAATCAGAGGATCGAATGGTTTGGTCATCTAGTAAGAATGCAGCCAGAACAACTACCAACGCAGGCGCTACACACGAACAGATCTGGTGTGAAATCAAGAGGCCTCCGTAGGAGGATATGGACTGATAACATTAAAGAGCTTCTACACCGAAACGGAATGACAGTAGTCATTCCTGCCCATCAAGCAAATTGATCGCAAACTGTTCTTCCCCACAACGCTTAACGATAGAAGTGGAAATTGATGTTGATGTTAATTAACAATGGATATTTTTTCTATACAATGCTTGACCCGACTGGTAATTCTAAATTTGGTCTGCCGATCAAAGTAACGAAATGGCTAACGAAACATTACGACTTGGACATTGTGCTGTTTCAACTGCACATTACCGCACAATAGTTGGCAGAGGGGTGGGGTTATCAGGGTTCTTTTCTGTTTAGCGACCACATCACGCGTGATTTAGAGAAATTCCCTTATTAAAGGGGGATTAGGGTTAGTGTTAAATGAATGTGTTAACCACCACACCCCCCCCCCCCAATAATATGGGATTTTCCTAAATCACGCTAGATGTAGTTGCTAAACAGAAAAGAACCGTTATCAGCTGTCAACGAGCACGACCTAGAAAAAAATTAATTGATCGTGATGAGTCTAAAGTTATAACGACGCGCTGTTTTATATATTAAAATAATAATAAAAAAAATAATATTTTGTACTGTTCAGTTTTAACCCGCTTCGTAGTTTATGCCTCTTTTGCTTTTTTCGCTAAGACATTATACATTTTTTTTTTTGGGCGGCAGATTCCCGGGTCAGTTAAATGGCGATCTCAGAAAACTGGCCGTCAACATGATTCCCTTCCCGAGACTGCATTTTTTCATGCCTGGGTTTGTTCCGCTGATGTCCAGAGGAAACCAGGCTTACAGAGCAATGACGGTTGCAGACCTGACCCAACAGATGTGGGATCCCAAAAACATGATGTGTGCAGCCGACCCACGCCACGGCCGGTATTTGACAGCAGCCGCTGTGTTCAGGGGTCTACTTTCTACCAAAGTAAGTAAGAAAGAAAGGCCCTTCCTACGTCCTTGACACATCGGACACATAGAACCCGACTCATCGTTTAATAGGCAGATAGGCACTGGGTGGGCGACAGACTCAAAAATCAAGCTAGAAGCGGTAAATCATACGTTGGTCACACCCCCCCCCCCCCCCCATCCCCATTCTACACACCGGTACATACTAGCTCACCTCTGATTTCATCCTTGCGACACCCGACCTTCACTTAAGGTCACGGAAATGTTCCCTAATGCCGCTCAAATAATGTGTTAGTTAGTTAGTTAGTTAGTTAGTTAGTTAGTTAGTTAGTTAGTTATCCTCATTGCACTCCGGACATGTCCATAGGTGCTCAGATCCTCCCCTCAGTATGAACCCCAACGTCCTATGGCAAATAGTACCAGTTCTATGTTGATTAACAAGTCTTCTGGCGTTTCTGGTGTGCGTCTCGTTTTTTGCTGTACCGATCTTAATTCCCAAGTCTGCCATTCTGGCGAGTGATGTTAATTCACTGCCACCAAAGTCCTCTATCCTTCCCATTTCTCTGAGAGCATTGATAATATCAGCATGATCCATAGGCTGACCGTCGGTAGTGATAGCGGATCCAGCCAACCTGTCAGCTCTTTCATTACCATCGACTCCTGCGTGTCCCGGAACAAAAATAAAGGTGACTCCACGCACAGTGGACTTCTGTAATGATTCAAGCCATTGTCTTCGCGCTGAACCTGCCTGAACCCTCCGGATCATACTCATTGAATCACTGAGTATACACTCGCGGGTATATTTTTGTGTTTCAAGCCAGGCAAGCGCTTGCGTCACTGCCATCACCTCCATCGTCATGCTGCTGGTTGTCATGGAGAAGGCGCCGTTGGCTTCTTTGACTGTTCTGCCCACTGAGCGTGCTGTAAATGCCCATGCTCTTCTTCTTTGGCGTATAACGGATCCGTCTGTATAGATTATTGCATCTGCTTCGTCCGAATTTTCACCGATGAGAGCGTTGACCTCTGCATTAACAGCAACAGGATTCTCTTCTCTACGTCGCCTGTTGAGTGTGACAATACAGGAAAATGTACAAATAAACGCCTGAGGCACAGGTATCCATTCTGCACCAGGTATGATGTCGGTTAGGCTGCATATTTGCCTTTAACATCTTCTGCGCGACCTAGCCACGATTTCCCCCTCTTCAGTCTGTCGCCCTTTTCACTAAAAAGCGCTTGATGCAGTGGGTGTTTCTTATCAGCACATATTTTGAGATATGCCCGAGCCCTCCACATCCTGATCCTTTGGTTCATTGTTGGAAAGTCAAGTACCTCATTGCTCCACAGGATGTGTCTCTTGTAAATCCCAAAATAATGCGCATGGCTTCATTTTGCACCTTTTCGAGTCGTTCAATCTGGGTAGCACTGACAGTGAGGATGGCCAGAGCGTATTCAATGGGGGAAAGGACCAGACCGTAGAATAGAAGTATTAGTAGTCTTTGCTCTATATTGGAAGCAGCCATAATCCTCATTGCAGATAGACCTTTGCGTGCCTTTGTTATTACATGGTCAACGTGTTCCCTGAATGACAAGCTGCGATCGAACCTCACCCCGAGAAACGCCATAACATTGGTTCTGATCAATACACTATCACGCATTTTCACTTCTGGTAAGTCCGACTTGACAATGTGATTGTTCAAAGAGAACCATGACACTGATGCCTTCGAAGGATTGACATATGCATTGAGTTCTTTGTGTATAGTGCTGGCGATCTCCTGTCTATCACGCCCTCGTCGATAAATCAAAATGTCATCAGCAAATGACAAAGTCCTTCCCTTTCCATTCAACTGCTGCTCAGTGATCATCACTGTATAAACGTTGAATAAGACTGGTGATAGCTGTGATCCCTGTGGCAAGCCTGGACATATCGTTTGCGGTTCTGAGGACCAGCTACCACATCTTAGTACAATCTTTCTCTGGAACAGGACCGCAGCAATCCAGCGGATCAGAATAGGATTAACTTCTAGTTTAAGCAGTAATTGCATTAAATAATCATATGGTACTTTATTGTAGGCATCTTCTAAGTCCAACACTGCCGCACATGTCTCTTCTTTAATCTGAAATCCCTCGTACACATCGTAGGCGAAAACTGCAGCATTGAACCATGTCTCTTTATTTAACCTGTATCCTCCAAGTGTTGATGGCAACTTATCATGTAGTTCCAAGTAGGTGGTCAATCTTTGTGCGACAATTTTTTCCAAAAGTTTGCCAACAGTATTCTGCATCGAGATGATTCTGTAGCCGCAGATCTTTGAGTGGTCTTTGTTAATGTGTTCTATATTTCAATATTCCAGCGCTTCTAACAGTACAAAAACATTTAGAAACTGTCTAACACACAACTCCCATAGAGAGTGCTGCAACCTATGTCACAGGCAGTCTCTTTCTCGGAATAAAAAGGTAAATGTAAGACAACAACGTAGCACCAAACCCATAACCTCAGCCACGTTAGACTACTTGAAAAATATGTGTCAATGGAATGTGAGCTATTTCCCGTCGAGAGACTTACCGTTTTTTTTTTTTTTTTTAAATTTAGACGCTTTTAATTTTCGAAGTATTTATGGCCACACAATTTAAGCTAGGTAGAATGTCGGCGTCTTTGACTTGGGCGTTGCGAACGCGCTTCGTAATGCCTGTTGTACACTTAATTTGTTGTACACTTTGTTGTAGTACACTGTAATTTCAAGAACCAAGTATTTAGGCCTAGGGTGCCTATTCTAGTACTCCACTGGATATCTCCTTGATGGATGTGCTACAGTGTAGTCCTGCATACTATAACTGGCCCATTTGGCCCAGCATCATCTAACACAGTTGCTATCTTTACAAGTCAACAATAACGCTTGTGACAGGCCACATAAACTTTAATGGCATTAAAGTTACACGTCACAAGATGATGATGATTATTCAATAAAACGTACGATAATAACTCCCTATTATCTACTCTGAGAATATAAAAGAATTACACTCTTTTCTCAATGGACTCCTGCCATTATAATAAAATAAAATAGACATTAAACTGTCTCCCGTGTAAGTACGGTTATTAAATTAAAACCTCACAAAGAGGGAACGTCTGCTTTCGAACAAGGGAAATATCTTGACTGCCGAAATCCATTTGTGTTCTGCAGGAGCCTTTGTGTTAATCGCCCAGCCTTCAATAGCTGTATCTCCAGGTAAAACCCGACCCGTGGC